AGCTTCGGAGGTATGATGATCTTGCGTCCAACCTCACCCGCATCTGGCTCCGCTGACTCCTGCTCCGTATTATTCCCACGCCGAGTCCTACGTATGGACGCCTCGTCGTCAGCTGCCACTCTGTGGATTTCAACAGACTCGCCACGCAACGCGTCCGTGAGTCCTTGGAGGGTTTTCAACCGATACTGGAGCTGGTTCTTCTTGATGAAGCGCAGGCGCTCTTGTTCGCATTTGGCCCATTGCTCAACGCAGTATTGCTGCGTCAGTCGCCCACCGCGTAGGATAAGAGAGTTACTAACCGTCCGGTCGTAAAGCTGATACGCCTCATATTCCCGAACGGACATGGTTAAGGGGTCACCGTGGCGATCGACGGGATTACCAACGTAGGGGATATCGTAAGTCCATCCATTCTCCCCATAGGGAAACAGTAGAGGGTACTGCTGTGGGTCGTAGGTAACGCTCGTCTCAAAGATGCGCTTGAAACCTCCTCCTGTCGTGTGTAGTACAATATCCCGATGCTCAGCCGCGTTTGTGTCGATCACAACGGCTGCCACCTCTGATGCCGCTGGGGTGTTATGCGTACCCAGATTCGCATTCCGTGTGACGTGCAGACGCAGCTTTAGGTGACCCCCCTTCGGAAGAAAATTACTCAAGGCTAATGACGGATCATGGTCATCAACGTCTTCTTCTGCCGCTCGGCGTCGCTCGTGCTCCCTGATGGCTGCTGCATACGCATCCCAGCCACGATCTATCAAAAATCTACGCGCGTTGATAAATTCTTGTGTATACGGGTTGTGCGCCACCATCATCTGGTCAATCGTTTCCATGACGGCGCGATCGAGGCCTTGCGTCATGTTCATACGGCTTCGCACACGTACATCCATGTCTGGATCGTTAAAGTAAACTTGGGCATACATGGAGCGGCCGAATGTTGGAGGTACTAACGATCCCATACGGTGGTACACTGACCCTTGTACACGGAAGTTGTAGACACCAATCCGTGGCACGCTTTCGTCGACGTTGAGAGGCCGATACCGCGAAGCTCCCATGGGCGAAAATGCGAATACGTTGTTGTAGGCTCGGATTGACCGCATGAAGGTCGGGTTTTCGAAAAGTGATAGTAGAGCATCAGATGCTGTTCGCGAAGATGGAACGAACACCAGTCCGTTACGACAGCAGCATCCGTATGTCTCTTTGGGAAACTTCCAAGCGTTACAGTAGTGACAAACCCGCTCGTTCTCCCGGTTGTCGTTTATGTAACGTGTAAAGTAGTGACGACCCCCGGAAACTGTGGAATGGTCAAAACTTTCGTGGTGTGCGAGGCCCTTCTTATACTGCCGAGACCGCCGGCGGAACCGCTCTTGCTCCTTTTGCTGATCCCTTTGTTCATCCGTCATGGCTTCCCTTCGTGCTCTAAGTGCGGTAGCTTCTCGGGCGCGCTGCGCTTGCCGCTGCTCATCCGACATGCCTCTTCTGCGATGTCTATGCGCTGCTGTATCTCGCTCGCGCTCTGTTTGCTGCTGCTCCTCAGACATGGCTTCTCTGTGCTCTCTCCGCGATGCTGTATTTTCATCGCGCTCAGTTTGACGCTGTTGATCGGACATGCCATTCCTGCGATATCGGTGCGCTTCTGCATTTTGTTCGCTCTCAATTTGGCGCTGCTCATTCGACATGCCTTCCCTGCGAACTTCGTGTTCCATTGTGTCGCGAATCCTTGCATTTGGGCTGTCTTCCTATCTCCTGGTGGCTCTGAGGTTGCCTTGTGCGTCTCGACCACACGCTTGACGAACTAAGACGTTTTCTGGCTCCAGTCGACCCCGTCGTACCCTCGCTTGTTCGGCATCTCGACGCGATCTCGAATAACCTGGGTTTCGGTTCTGTTAGCTCTACGAATTCGCTTCCTCTCCGCATCTTTTGCTCGTGCCCGCTGTTTATGTGAGATCGTCATGGCAGCTCGCCTAATCCGGGCTCTTTTTGCACCGCGTGCACGTGTAGCTGCTGCGGTATCTTCGATCGGAGGTCCTGACATTCCAATCTGAAATCCGTGGGTGTCGTATTGGCCTTCGCGACGCGTCTCCCCCTCAAATCGTCGTTGATTCTCACCGGGATGATCTTTCTCTGTCTTCTCCTCACGCTCTACAGCTGGACTGGATACTCTTATCAGTCCTAATTCAGATGCGGCGTGAGCTTCAGCTAAGTCGAGCTGCTCCAACTCTTGGATTGCCTTGCGATAGCGTGTCTCTGCTTTACGAAGCCTTTGTTTACGGAGCTGCCTATCTTTCCTCGGTTCCAGTTGCGTGGGCGAAGCGTTCTCCTGCCGTGCTCGTTGTACGCGCTAATCGAATTCCTCGCGGGTAATTATAATAATTAGACACAGTTAGTCGAGTTAATTATGCCCCAAAGCCCGCTACACAGTTGTTGGGGGACCTTTTTCTTTTCCTCGGGGCTCTTGCCATGTCCTTCTATCTTGAACGCGTCTGTCGCCTGATTGAAACAGAAAATAATTACGTGGGCGGTTAGACTTGAAAGTCTAAGTGCACTGGGAGCTATTCTACAGCTATTTCATAAATATAAGCACCAGAACATGGACACTATAGCTTAAGCAACGTGGTATTCGAATAGAACCCCGAGCTTTCCTTTTCAGTACTAATCCATAAGCCCTCTGTGAATATAACACACCACTGCCATTTCCATCCCGGCTCCTCGGATTTCAAACAACTTAGGGGGATCGTCACTCCAGGCGGCCTGTTGGTCCAATCAGCTTTTGCTTAAGCCCCCCCTGGCCGACGTGTTACAGCCCTCGGCTCACGTTCTGCGGGTCCAAATTACCTTGCACGGCTGTGAACCAAGCAGCTGTACATGGTAAATTCAGACGCCGTATCGCGCTGTTGCCTCTTGGGTACGTCAAAGCTGTTGCCTCATCCCTGTTGAGTGGTTGCCCAGGTCTGTTCGATACCGTCCAGCCCTTCAGATTATGTCAGTAGTATGTGCAGGGTGTCCGAGAACGACCCAGCCTCTCACGGGGCTCACACAGTTCCGAAAATACTCTAAAACTGTCTATTTTGATGCTATGCTATTTAAGTGTACAGGCGCGGGGCTCACTCATGCTCTTAAAGTGTTTTTTTTGTCTCGATCTCTTGTTCTTGAGCTGTCCTTGCACTTGGCCTTGAGCTCCTTGCTCTTGTGAGACCGACTGCTGCATTCCTTTCCGTCCCGCCAGAAGTGCTCTCGCAAAGTGTGTTTTGATGTGGGAGCTCAAACTTTAAGAGCACCTCTGTATTGCGGGACTGTAACGACTCTTCCGCATGTGGCAGCAACTTCGGTTTGGCCAATTGGCAGCACGCGCCACTCGCTTTTGGAGCGTGGACACTCGCGGTGGGTCTACGACCCATAGGCGCGTGCATGGATGTAGACGCTCCCGGTCACACCCACCCCAACCTGATTGCTATCGCTACCAACTGCCATACCACTTTGGAGTCTCGGGGCAAGCCTCAGACTGTATCCTGAGAGGAACTCTCTTGAATATATAGTAGGGCAAGGAGCCACACACCTGTACATACATGCATATACATCTAACACTACCCTTCTGCTATTATACAGCCAGCGCACCTCGTCCGTCGCTAAGAAATCCAATTTTGTGTTTTGAATAGAAAAACAAGTCGGAAAATATCGACCAATCAGGGCGTGAGTTAATTGTGTGGCGTTTATGCTATAATTGTAATTTTGGCATAGCTAGGTCGAGTCAGAAAGATCGGTAGGATGAACTCAAATGGCCTTAGAAAGGGCGACTGTAGCCATGCGAAAAGGAAGGAAAAAGCAGCAAGAGAGGTACTCGCGGTAAAAGCGGTAAATGAACCCTTCGGTATTACTACTCCCTGCTCATGGAATACGTGGTACAAAATTACCAAAAATGACTATTCTGAGGTGCTTACATATGGAAAAGTCACTATTGCGCAGCACGTCCTTGCACCCCTCCTTCCTGCTTAGCTCGTCTCGCAGCTTTTTCTGCATCGCTCTAAGCCCTGGTACACTTCTATCCTCCACCCCGTTGAATCTGCTCGAATAAGCAGCTTTGCAATCCGCTTGAGGTGCGTCTTAATATCCGCAGAATCGAGCTTTACATCATTACTCTCTGTTTCGCCTCCTGTATCCTCGCATCCATCGACTTACCGCTAGCCTGAACGTCGATTCGTCGTACACGCTCTCATCTGGTGGATTCAGCAGCTCTGTCACCGACATCAGATCGGACGCATGTAGGCGCGGCAGCATTTTAGTCGATTACCGAACATTGCTGCTGGCAAATTTGCTAGCGCTGGTGCGGGTTAACTTACGTTCGACTGGCATCTTGGTGGCACTAGCTTGAAAAATTGAAGAATGAGAGAGATTCTGGGAGGACCGCAAACGCAAGGAACGAAATGGATGGGGATACCACGGCCCACTGGGCCGTGGGCCGCCCAGGTTGAATCTACGCTTTTTTTTCATTCTCCACATTTGCATCGCTACACTACTGAAAATTACTACGTAGTAGGTGATTTTTTAAGCCATGGCATTGTGACATCCAGTACTGTCTGTACACGTATTAATACATGCTGAAGTATTCCCCCAAACTTAAGTACGATTCCGTGTGCAGCTGTATTGAAGAGCACATTGTATTTTAAAAATCGCTGGAGCGGCCCTCAAATTACTTGGACTTTGTAAGCTCCAACCGGCAAATTTAGACGGAACTGACAATACGATCCATGAAGCCATTGCTTTTAATAGCAGCATCTTTAGACCGGTGAAGACGAAAGTTGGCTACGGAGCACACATGTTTGGGCACTTTCCGAAGCAAATCTCACTTGTGCTCATAATTGTCCGGTTTTGTCAAAATATGAGTGCATAACCGGGTAATATCAAGGAGGTATTCGGTTCGAGTCCAGTTCAGCACAACCATGGGCTCCGCTTTGATTCTGTCCGATGGATCAGTGGACCATTTGCCCGTTTACCTGGTTTGCAGCACCATGGACTCCGCTCAGCTGATCCGCTTTCTTCGCACTGCATGTCCGCTCGGCGCCTCTCTTAGCGTCCTAATAACGATGGTGAGCTGCGTCATTATCGTCAAGGCGAACGATATTTGGGTCAGCGGACTCACATGGCCGTTCTTGTCGGACATGGGGCGAGGTGAGGTGCTCTCTGCCTTCAGTGTTTTGTGGAATGTGTACACGACATGACAGCATTAACAACGGTTGTTTTCATCAAACGCATAGACTACCCGGCCTACTACGTATTTGGTACGGGACTCACGCTCGCCGCCATCCTGCTCGTATTCACGTGGACGTTCAACTGGCGTTATCACATGGCGGCATTGCCGGAGGATTCCCACGTGTACCGCGTGCTTTCAACCATTAGCTGGGTTGCCGGAGTCCTGGCCAACCCGGGTCTACCCGTTCTGGTAAGAGGCGGCGACCTTATCGTACCGCCCAACTAAAAAGCTCAGACTCTGACCACAACAATCCCCATGATAGGCCTTTTTCGACACATCGAAGCACTCCAAGCTCCACGCTGCCGGCGCCGAGTGGTTCTTTTACATTGAGACCATCGCTATTCTCCTGAACGTACGTGTATCGCTGAAACTAGTGCTGCATTATGACAGCGTCGTTGTAACTCCCTGGGCTATTGCAACTTGACAGACCATCGTGAGCTACAAGCTATACAAAATGCTGACGGGATTACAGATGGACCTAGAAAACGCATGCTCGACCATGGGAGCCAAGATGCAGAGGAGGAGAAAGACATTGAAGATCCAGGTCATTTTCTTCTCGTTGTTCTTCGTAGCGTTTCTCATTTACATGCCCATCGGAACTTCCGTGGCATCCCAGTCGCAGCGTCTCTCTATTGACGACTGCATCGATAAGGGGCTCGGCGAGATTTACTGTGAGGAGACGATGCGCCTCAATTCGACTTCTACTACGCTCTATGACGATGGTACGCGCCACTTGCAAGTTGCAACTCCTACTGTTATTTTACGAGTAGCTACGCTAACGACATCCTTGTACATCTGGCTGAATAACAGAAAAAACGTACGGCACGAGCCAAATGCGCGCTGCTGCCCAGCTTGCCTGCATCCTGACGCTGGTAGGCTATTCGACTTCCTTTATCACCAACGACTACGATGAATCAGAAGGTCAGGAGTTCACTCCGGATGCCAAAATTGCTGTGCTCCAGTAAACGGTAGTTCGGTAGATTTATCTGGAACGGATACAAATTAGGAATTGGTAAGCTAGAGCTTTTGCTCAACTTGTCTGCTGTACAGTGTACATGTACATGTAGATCCCGTCTTGTCGTTGTGTCCGAACCTGATACTTTAACGTGACAAACCGTCGTGGAGATTTCCACGCTCATGGATGTTTTATGAGTGCAGTGGTACTATCATGTAACAGCATGTACAGCGGCCTTTTTAATCACCATTTGTCGTTCATGTACTACAGATGAACCCTTTGGTAGTCATAGCGTGGGGAGCCAACATTTTATTACTAGGTAAGGGTGTTCTTGTGGTGGGGTGGCTCAGCCAGGTGTACCTTTGAAATGGAACATCGAGAGTTCTACATGTAGTCTAAATTTCCGATTGAACCGCTCCGGGGTTTCGCTCGATGACATAATATAGTCACTATAGTATAGTGGCATCACCGGTTAGTGAGTGGGATTAATTTATGTGAGGATGGATAAACATATTTTTTTTTAATATTTTAAAAGAACGGTCTAGATTCAGTTTTTAACCAATTGCTTGCGTTCACGCTAGTCAGATCTTCTCACTGAATTAAATTAGTTTATTTTGACTCAAACGCCGTTTTCGAAAGCCTAACCCTAAGTGTCATTATTAGTTTTCGTGTTCTTCCATGGTATCATACTGTGACGGGGTCACACAGCACCTTGCGCTGAGGAAGTTATCTTCCGAGAGTATACAAACTCTCAGTGAACGGCAGCTCACAGGTCCCCTCTTTATTTAAAGAACCTAAATAAGGTAGATGTAAATTGAGTATATTTATAGGTAGGTTAAGTTTGGGTTTAATACAAACTATTAGTTACCTATAGTCATTTAACCAATGGTTGGCTTTGAACGACCTTGGTACCTTGTACCAAATATCCCGGAGTATGACGTGTCATACTCCTGAAGTGTGAAGTGTCGCACTTCATGTAACCAGGGTACACTTAGGGCTACGTACCCCGTTACATCCTCCCCCACTTAGGTTCGGTTTACCGACCAATCAGAATGAAGAGGTGTTCGTCACAAACTCTCATTCTCAAAGTCGAAAACCATCGACTTGGCCGTGCGAGCGCGACGGAGGCTCACTTCACAGTTAGAGCCTCGAGCAGCAACCTGTGCGCTCTTCGTCTAGGTCCCCACTTCGACCGTTATCATGCCTCGTGGCACTGCAAAGAGCGGTGCTAAGACACGCTCCAAGGCTGCTGCCGGTAAGGCGCAACCCAAGAGCACTAAGCCTCACGGCAAAGGCTCTGCACTCAAGGAGGCTACTCAGGTGGCCTCCGAGGCGATCGGTTCCTCGGGTGACGCGGCTGTGGACAAGCGCGCAAGCAAGCGCCGCAGCCCGTCGCCCTCATCTTCAGACAATCGTCCGAACCCTCGGTTCATGGAACGGGAGTTCAACTCGGGCAGTGAGGACGATGTCGAGTCCGAGAGCACTCACGATGCTCCTGCGGGCTCTGTGGGAGGACACAGCCCAGTGCCCAGTGAGCACAAAGATGGCAGCGTGCAGTCGCCCGCTAGTGATCACGGTGATCACAGTCCCAGGACCTCTGTGCGCTCTGAGAGTCCGGCCGTCAAGGCTAAGGGCGCTCCCAAAGCCGGTGGCGATGAGGAAGAGAATCCTCGCAAACGTCTCTCGCTTGCCGAGGGTCTTGCGCGCGCTAAGGCCTCTAAAGCCGAAGGCGCCAAGCTCTCAAAGAAGCGTACCGCCTCTAAGTCTCCACTCCGCAAGGAGAAGGAGACTCATCGCTCCTATCGGAGTATCTTCGATTCCTCGGATGAAGAGGAGGAGAAGGAGGAAGAAGAGGAAGAGGAGGGTGCTATCGTTGATCCCCGGGAGGTCTCGAATGACCTCGACCAGCAGCAGGAGGAATTCCAAGCTGCCCAGCGTGTGCGTGGGGGTTCGGTGGCGGCACCCGTCAGCCAGGGAGCTGCCATCAACTCAAGAGGGTATTGGCCTCCCGAGGAGATCTCTGGGGCTGACCTCTTCTTAGAGGTCCTCGTCGCTCCTCGTGGCCTTGTGGGCGGCCACACTTCTAGGGGCATCTATGAACGAGCCCTTGTTCAGAAAGAACATGTGGTGTTGGAAATCCCACGTGAACTCTAGCTACAGATGTAGTTAGGATATTCCCACAACAATACGTCTACTAGGATAGTAAACGATCGTTCGGGCGGACCTGAAGACCCCAGTTCTGTCCTTGCACCGGGACAAACTGGACCTTGTAAACTACTTATATAGGCCAACCAGTAAAATAAGAACACGCTACTAGCACGAGCAAAGCTAGCAGGTGTTTTGAATCCTCGTGGTCCCAACAGCGGAAGGGTACCAGGCACGGGTAAGCCTTTTACGAGATCACCGAGTGTTCAACACTCGGCTGGAAGAAATAAAAGGGAGGCAATTCAAGCACTCCCAGTCGTGCAAATAGGCAACAATAAGCCGTCACGTAAAACCTCCCGATAATAATCGGCCAATACACAAAGTCTCTTGGCCTTGCCGGATGAACCCTCGCTACAGAGCTTCGAGTTCACCGACAGGCATAACACACTCAAACAAGCTTGACCTGACGCTTACCTTGAAGCCGGACGTCGCTCTGTGTGCTTGAGTGGAAATTCTGTTCTGTATTTAAGCTTACCCTTTCGGGTCTATTCCTAATAAGAAGTCCTAATCAAGTATACAAATATCAAGTGAACAATGATCCGTTATGGATCTTCTTGCATGCCAAGCGTCGTCTGCACCGTCGCATGAGCATCTTTAACGGTCCGCGCCCTGTCCCAGACGGTGAAAGTGCCTTCCAAGGGTCGCTGAGTCTTCTGCGAACTCATCCCAACCGCCACTGAGGATTCGTACCGTAGATGGTCCGCTGAATGCGAATCCGGCCAGTCCATTATTAATAATAAGGACAGCCTGGATTCAGTGACATAGGGCCGTATCCGATACTTGTTGAAAACTCGGAGGTGACGCCGTCGAGTCCCTTGCACCTTGGCGTCTCCGTACATCACCCGACCGAGGGTTCGTCGCTTGAACAACTTGGGCGGTGTCACGTCTTTGTCGACGGGTGATAATCCGCAACCACGGAGAAATCACTACACCACAACTGCCCCTGTCGCAATGGAAGCCACGGTACTGGTGCCCGTTGTGACATTTCTTCATTCTTCAATTCACCATCTCGCCACCGTATGTCCAAGCGTCTGAATCGAGCCGTGTCCGACGCTTTTCAGCGTCTCAATCCTCGTAGACGTCGCGAACGTGAACAGCTGGAGGTACGTCAGCTCATCCTTCTCTTGAATCATCGGCACCTTGCTCATCATCTCGCATTACTCGACTTGTTTCTCAGGAGGGCAAGGCCGAGGGTTCGAACGTCCCTCAGTCTGCTTCACTTCCTCCGACAGCGGCGTCATCAACTAATCCTTCGGCGCTTCCTGCCCCAGACTCTCCACTCCCTGCGGTAGCTCCTGCAGCACTCCCCGTCGTCGCTGAATCCGCGGAGATGGCTCCTGCTGCTCCTCCTGCGCCTGCTGGTGGTACACCACCACTCACCGAAGATTCGCTGCGCGCCATGCTGGCTGAAAGTACGGAGGCATCGGTCGATCACATGATGACCTCGATAATTCCGTACTTGACTGCAATGGCTCGTCATCAAGTGCAGCTCAGCGTTGCGCCTCCTCTCCACGGCGATGTACACACTCAACGTCGCCTCGAGACTGCTGTTGGTTTCGATGATGTCCTCGCCGCACGTTCCACGACGTTCTCCAGCATCTCCGCTAACTGTTGAGGTATCCCGCGTGACTTCGTTTTCAGTGGTCGCTCCCCGGTCGGCATTCATGTTTTCTTATTCCTAATCCACTTCCACAGCGTAATCATGTTCATGTTGTTCTTCAAATGCATATACAATTTGTTGTTGCAGTAACGTTTTTCGTCTGTTACCACAGGCTGCATCGCCCTGTGGACAGTTCACACGTGATCCAGTCACGCTAGTCTTCGTCCGCCACTTGCGCCATCTGCAGCCGATTCTCGCTCTTCTTGGCTCGCAAATAGTCGTACAGCAGACCTCCACATGACAAGTTGGATGATGGTTCCCAAGTTGAATCTTCATAGCCCACCCACTTGACTTTGAACTCGCGTACAGCACGCTCCGTGCTCGTCGTCAGTGGTGTTCTGTCGTCGAGGATGGCCTCGACTTCATATTCACCGGCAACTTGATCTGGTTCCCAGCTGTCCTCAGGCAACAGTTCCTCATCGAAGTCGAGTCTTGCTTCATTAGTCGCGTCTAGTACCAACCGAGTGCTCGGTCGACTGTTGAACTCGTTGACAGCCTTGAGTCTCGACACATGCACTACTGGGTAGAAGCGATACCCACTTCGGTCAGGCAGTTCCAGCTCGTACGCAAACTCTTCCACCTTGCGCTTGATCCGAAAAGGTCCATGCCATCGGTGAGCTAATTTCTTCGTCAAGCTCGGTTTGACGCGTTCCATGTACAACCACGCCCGGCTCCCAATCTCAAAAAGAGATCTCGGTGGGGCTCTTGCAGGATCTTCCATCTCTTCTGAAACTTCTAGAGGGTCTGCCGAGTGTTCGTTTCCACTTGGTTGAGGTACAGCGGCTTTTTCCAGTCGACTCAGAGCATCATTATGCT